TATTTATTTATAACTTGCTCCTTGTTTATTTATAACTATACTCCTTATTTATTTGCACAAAATAAAAAAGAACATAATATTAGTCACTTGTATTCACAATATATAATTACAAAGATCAGCACACGTACAGTACGAGGGCTGTTCGGAAAGTTCACGGCCTCAAATAGAACAACAAACAAAATAATGTTAAAGCTTTTTTTATTTTTCAATGTAGTCTCCTTTGTTAGCAATGCACTTATTCCAGCGATGTTCTAGCTTTTTTATGCCATTACAATAGGTCGATTTGTCAAAATGTGCAAAATACTCGTATACTTCAGAGATGACTTTGTCATTTGAGTGGAATCTCTTTCCAGCCAAGAATTATTTTAAATTTGGAAAAAGGTGAAAGTCACTGGGGGCCAAATCAGGTGAGTACGGTGAATGTGGAACTAATTGGAAGCTAAGTTCGTTTATTTTTTGTTCAGTGATTCTGGCATTATCATGGTGAAACAGAACCTTCTTCTTCAAGTGTGGCCTCTTCGATTTCTTTCTTCAGTTTTTCCAAAAGTATACAGTAATAGACAGCATTAATGGTCTTTCCTCTTTCTTGGTAGTCAATAAAGATGATTCCTTTAGCATCCCCAAAAAACCGAGGCCATCACTTTCCCCGCTGATGGAACTGTTTTTGCCATCTTTGGTGGTGGCGAACTGGGGTGTTTCCATTGCTTCGACTGTTCTTTTATTTCAGGAGTGTAGTAATGGATCCACGTTTCGTCAGTAGTCACAAACCGATGCAAGAAATCTCGTGGGTTTTTCTTGTAGAAGTCCAAACACTTCTTTGACATCAAAGTGCGAACATGTCTTTGCTCAGCGGTCAGCAGATGCGGCACCCAACTTGCTGAGACCTTCGTCATACCCAAATTTTCAGTTAGATGTGGTGCACTCGATCGACAGAGATGCCTGTTGTCTCAGCTATCTCACGCGTTTTCAAACGGCAATCTGCTAACACCAAATCGTAAACTTTGTCGATATTTTTTTCAGTGACAGCAGTTGACGGCCATCCGCTGCGAGGGTCATGTTTCAAACTCTCTCTGCCAGATTTTAAAAGGGCTGTCCATTTTTTCACAGTGGTTTACGAAGGAGCAGACTCTGCTAAAACTTCATCCATGTCAGCTTTGATTTGAGATAGGGTCAACCCTTTTTTCGTCAGGTATTTTATGACCGCACGAGTCTCCATCTTCTCCATTTTTGACAAAGCATGTGCACATTGACTATCTGCTAAGCTGTTGTGGCAAAACTTTACGACAAATCAAGTGGAAATTGGTATCGTATCTTTAGCAAAGATGGCTGAATTATTCCCGCCAAAAATTAAATTGATCGCAGTGCCGCATATAGGCAAGGCCGCAAACTTTTTGAACAGCCCTCGTACACACCTATTCGTTCGAGAATCGTTGCACATCTGAGGGTCTGACCCTGCCTATCTTTCTTTTTAAGCACTCGTCTTTGCTCTTCCCTTTCTCTTTCCTCTATCGCTCTAGTCCACGTATGCCTATGCATATATCATAATACGCGCTCACGATACTTTTGATTCATCACTTTTCCATTGAAGATTCCCCATTTTACAATTGTCTATGACAACAATTGTTTGGCATTCACGGCCGCAAATTTCGGGCCAATAAGTTGCCTCGACTTGTTTGATTATGTTATCAACTCAATTTCATATTTATTTTCACATTTTCACTTTGCGGTTCTTCTCTGTTCTTCTTCTGTTATTTACACGTGTAGGTTATTTCATTGTTATCCACATTTGATATCATCACTTATCACACTGCTATGATGCTCTTGTCTGAACTGTCAAGAATTAATGCAATTGGCGAAGCGTAGTGACAGTGGGCCAATAGAGAGCAGGGCATAATGCGGTTTGCGCACCAATTTTCATATGTGCATTAATCAAACTGAATAGTTTGGTCGAATATTCAGTATTCGGCCTGAGGCCAAATATATTACTCGTTGCAACACTACTAATCACCAAAACAAGATATCAACGAACGGATTGAAGGAGGTTACTTGGGAGGTTTACATGGACACAATGCCTCTAAGTGGATTAAAAAATAATCAACTGGAAGTGCGCTATTCAAAAAGTTCAGGTGTGGTGAGACGCCATATTATTGTATACGCACTAGTCGTAATTCTAGTATTAAATATTCTTCTTTGTGTTCTTTGTTTTCTCGTTTCTCGATCTTTCCATCCTTCACTTCCTGTTCGTTGGCAAGGACGAGGACGAGGCAAGACAAGGGAGTGTTCGCCCCGAGGTAGACGGGGGAGAAAGAAAGAACCAGTCAGGAAGTAGACGAGCCAGCAGACAGACGGAGTTCACAGACAAGAGTTTTTTTTCATGCGTAGAGAAGGGCGACATAAGACATATCCATCAGTGGAAGAAGAGAGAAGGTCCCGATCAAGAGTTATATACATCGAAGGACTGGAATACAATCCCCTCTCCAACAGGGAGATATCATATACTGTTATCCCGGGTACCCTTTTGTCGAACATTTCTACACCTCTTATTGTCTATGCTATCCTATCATTCTTCCATAGTTAAACCTTAGTTTGTAAGTTAGAATATAACCGTAGTTATCTTAGTTCCCATTGACGAGTTAACTCGTCAAGCCTATATAGCGTTACGAAAAACGTGGTCCTTAAGGCCATTTTTGAAAAAAAATTTTTTTTTTGAATTTTTGGAATGTTTTTTAGGTCCCCAAATTTTTTCAAAATTTTTTGCCCGCGCGAAAAAATTTTATCGCGATTTTAATTAGCCTTTAATAAGGCTCGATTAAGGCTCAGTTGTTTTTTAATGGGAGTTTTTTATCAAAATTATTTCATGGTTCCTAAGTTGTAGCGCACGGATTTTCATTCGGTAAAGTTATTTAAAGTTAGTTTCTGATGTCAAAAACGACCTCCAATGGTTTTTTAATTTTTTTAATTAATATTTTTTTTTAATATAAAATTAATTAATTAGGGGGGTCGGAAATCGCAATAAAAGTTTGAATTTTTTAAAAATATTTAAAAATTTCCGTGTCGCTTATATTCACCCTACTTTAAACCCTTGTCCTCCCGAGACGTCTATGAGAATGTCCCGGGAAATCAGACTCCAGCTGTGTTCAAGGTCACCCAGCTGTGTAAACAATGACTCATCGGTGTTATATTTCACAGAAATGCGAAACAAAGGAAAATAAAATTTGAAGGTTTTTCTTCAAAATTAACGCATTTCTTTCGTTTTTTTTCAGTTTTAAGTATTTTTAATGTATTTTAATATTAATCTTATATCAATTTAATTAATGATCGGGAAGGAAGGGGTTAATTAATATTGTAAAAGTGTTCTATTGTCGCGAACCCGCCTCAACCGTGCAATACCACGTGCATAAGGCTTTTGTTCCCCGCTGTACACGTGTGAGGTCAAGCAGGGATTCGGTTTCTTTATTTCTATGTTATTGCCCGAACATATATAGTGCGAGCTTGTGTAATTGCTGTCAGTTTGAAAATAAATCCTGTATTTTCTCATATTTCTTTGTCATTGTCCTTCCGGGGTTTTTTGCGCACCTTCACATATCTTAACACAGGAACTTTTTGAACAGACCTCGTACACAAGGAATTCTACAGGTGGAAAGCCATCTTTTCCCTTGAACACAATTCCACTCTCAAAACCAACTCAACTTTCTGAAAATCCATATGGGAGTCTATGAAATAGATGAAATCTAGCAAATTTGTTGCCATCAAAGCTGATAAGTCTAAGGACATCATCCTAATGAATACATCTATTTATTGTAATGGCATCCAGGAATATATACATGACACTGTTCCATAGCCCCCCGATAGCTACCTCCATAAGCTCTAGTCTAGGGTTCATTTTTTTCAACATTCCACTGACAGACCTCCTTCACTTACTTAACACTACAGTTACTGCCCCACCACACCTTGTATCTTTGCATCTGCCAAAATGCATAAACCTAGCACAGAACTTTGACTAACTGTAGATAAATCTTCATCACCAACCATACGATTCAAAAGGGCAATTGACAGTTGCATCACAGACTATCTTCCTTCATACCTGTACATCATCACCAATGCCCTGGAGTTAATCAAACGTCTCAAGGACCTCACAGTCCAGAACCCAATATACTTTACAATGTGTGACTAACATACTTATTTTCATATAATCTCTATTATTAAAAAATTTTAATTTGTACTTCTAGAGTTTTATATTGTTATATTAAAGAATATGTTCTTGCTTTTTTTATTCTGCAAAAATAGACTTATCAGAAGTGAATCTGATAACATAAAAAAAAAGGAAGTTTAAGTGCAATAACTTCTTATCTTTGTTACAGAAAAGTTAAGTTGGAACAGAAATTGGATGAGAGTCTAAAGATTAGTCAAACATTGTAACCAAACAAGTTCAAGAGCTCATATTCTTTAAAACTTTCCAATATTTAACAAAGTTATGAATTGCCTTCACTATGTGAAAATTTTATTTGGAAAGAAATTGGTATACAGCTAATCTACACTTAAAAAGCCCAAAGTAAGCCTTGGCTGTATTACTGTCATTGATTTTTGTTTGTTTGGAATATTACTGTTTGAATAATTTGAAAATTCAAACATCCATATTATAAAAACATGAAGAAACTTAAGTAACAAAAATCTGTTGGAAATAACAATGAATTTTTTAATTATATTGCATTCTATTCCTGTTCTATTCATTTATTTAAATATGTTAAAACTTAAAATATTTGAAAACTAATCTACTTTTAATATTAGATAAATGCATAGAAAATCTGGGAATTTTGAGAATTTACATGGAAAGAAAGAAAAGAAAAAAAATGAAAATCAATATACAATATTAAATGTGGACACTATTACAAAATATAAAAACAGCTACCAGACTGACTGGAAATTGTTCAATATGAAAAAGTTTTGTAAATGAGAAAAATAAAGTAAAATTCGAGTTAAAAGAACAAGTCAATAATTACGAATAAATTTAATATATAAATACTTAAAAAAAATATATATATACATATTCACCTTTAATAAATGCCATGTTATTCCACCATTATTTGAGTATTGTAAAAGAACACCATTTGCTCTCGTAACATTTGAAGTAATTGAACCTCTACAACCATATCGGAAAACAAACTGTATGTATTGAGCAGCAGATAAATCAAGATCCTGTGTAACAGCCATTCTTAATCCTTCCTGAAATTATATTTAGATTATTACAAACATTTTTTTAAAGTACATGATATAAATTATTCAAAATTACTATAAATATAAATGACTATATTCTGAATCTCCTTATTATAAAGTATTAGTTTACTTTAGTTTACATAAACACTATTATTGTTTTGTTTCATTAATAAAATATTATTTTCCAATACTAAAAAGTTACATACATACATACATGGGATAATCAAAAAGTTGCACCTCTTGCAACTTTTACTGAAATTATTTTATTTCTAATTTCAGTAAGAGGTTGGTAGCACTGAATTGACAGACAGATTTGCCAAAGATATACTTGATTTTACTTTCCTGGCTATTATATTTAACAAAGAGAAAGTATGATGATTGAATTCACCAAGACTTTTACATTTTTGGACTCGGGGGACCATGAAATGTTGAAAAATGCAAAAAAAAAATAATAAAAAAAAAAACGTTGAAGGTTTTTCTTTATGTATGGCTGTTTGTGTTTGTATATGTGTGTGTGAGGGGCACAGTTTTGTTCACCCACTTTGAAGCTTAATAATTCCTGTGTATTTTGTTAAAAATTTCTGAACTTTTGCAGGGAGGTTTGTATTGTATTAAATTTTGGTAGTTGAAGATGAAGGAGGTGGGGAAATAGAGGAAGATCATTTGTTATATCTTGAGTGAGGTTAGATTTAATGATTTTACTTGTTATTAGCATTTACAACTTTGTATAAAACTCATCTCTACCTCAAAATTAAGCTTTTTGCCATTTTATAATAATTAATAATAGAAAATTTTTAAATAAAATCTCATAACTTAACAGATGGCACCACACATAATTTTAACTGTTTTTCTGTTCATTGTTTCAATTAATGCTATTTGTTAAGTTTGATATACAACTAAACAGAATTGTCACACCTGACATGTGTGACAATTTTGTGGACTGTACATCAAACACTTGATTACATAAAAACTATTATTGTTTTTATGATATGTTTTGTTTCTTGCAAGAGTGCCATAGCATTTTCCCAAAGCAAGAATGTGAAATAATTGAGGACTATTTTGCTCATCAATCATATGCAAAGGTATTGGAAGAATTTTATGAGCAATATCCACATTCTTCATCATCTGATAAGAGTAAATATTTAGCTTGTTAAACATTTTCAAGAAATAGAAATTGTCTTTGACAGAAAGAGGAGTGGATGACCATTGTTTTATTATAAGTGACAATAAAATGGAAAATATGTGGACCAAAATGATGCTTTTTCCAACCAAAAGTTTACATAAACTTTCAATTCAGACTGGATTATCTTATGATAGTGTGCAGAAAACTGTGAAAATACTACTCTTGCATCCATATTCTTTTACCTCAAATTTAAGAAAAAGAGTCTGTAACTTGAAAACAGACTTCATTTGAACATCTGCTATAATTTTGTCCAAGGGGCACTTATTTTTGCAACTTACATTTGCTTTTAAAAAGCTATGAAACAATTCATCTTCTTGCTATCAAAGATTGTTAAACTGCAAACACTTGTATAGCTGGGATGGTGTAGGAGCAAGGTGTTTCTCAAAATGATTCTTTATAACTGCAATGTCCTTTTTAGCATCAGTAAAACTGAAAAAGTTGGATATAATTTCTGCATCAGCATCCACTGTAGCCAACAACAATGTGGATTGCATTTTGGGCATCTTTTCATGTTATATAGCTAGAGTATACCATTCAAATCTCAAAACCCACATTCTCCATACTCCCATTATTTTTTTCATTCTTGATGACAATTGGCTCTATGATCTAACAGAAACACGTGCATTTACAAATTCAATCATTTGACACTGAAAATAACAGCAATTTAAAACAATATTTTTTGTGGATGTGTCTTTTTAAATCTAGAACTTTTGATACTATGTAACATTAATGATAATGGATTGAGACAACCTAGTAAAATTTAACAAAATTTTAGTATGGCTTCCTGTCAGTGGTCAGTGTGGTGGTCAGTACCCTCTGCTGATATTATATTATGTTTCAGAATGCTTCAATAAACAGATATAGAAAAAATACCATAGAAAATACAATGTGCCATACAACCAGATAAATTATATTATCTTGCAACTACACAATGGTTATTGTAACAAATCTATAATTTTAACAGTGCTTTAGCATTTTGTTTATGTTTAGTTTAGTAATAAATGATCTGGCTGCTTTGTTATAAAATAATCATAATACCCAGAGTTATAAGTCTTGTGGTTTGAAATTATTTGAGATGTAGGTTTTCTAATATTTTAATCTTATTCTACAGAAATCGTTGTTTAAATAATTTATTTATTAATTAAATTAGGAAAGCATATTAATGATTATGTAAAAGAAAATGTTTTTCTTCCCATTGGCAATATAATTTATTTATTAATTAAATTATGAAAGCATATTAATGATTATGTAAAAGAAAATGTTTTTCTTCCCATTTTAATTTAAACTCAACTTTTAAGGATCAAATTTAAGTTAGAAGCAAGAGTACATTTAACAAACTAAAGATCAATAACTTCTATTTTTGTTGTGGAAAAGATTCAAAAGGAAAANTCCAGGGGTCGATTAATACACGAGGGTCGAAAGGGGATCGATTAATACACTACATTTTACTACTGACATATTAATTATTTCATTTAAAATGATTAACATTTAACAGAGAAATGACAATTATGCATCTGTAACAAATATAATGATATTGAAATCGTTAATATTTAAATTACCTTCCAAAATGTCAAAGCTGTTCCACTAACTAATACTCCACACCTACTACTAACTTCAGCTCCATATACTTCCATCCATTTTGTTGCATTAACAGATGAACTGTCAAAAGTATCTCTCATCTCGCAAGGTAATGGTATTTTTGGTACACAGTAAGGCTCAATAAATCCAAAATCACATCTAATAAATAATTACAAAAGTGACAAAAATAATAATAACAATGACAATGATAAAAAAAATTAAACATGAGCAAAATAATAAGAAATTGATATTCTAATGATAATACATATTTTTATAAAAGCAACAAATTGTAAAATGCTATAAATTTTGTTTTTTTATTGTGTTTAATAATGAAAACAAAAATTATTGCAGAAATATATTATCAACTTGACATTTTAAGATATCTAAACTTTTATAATTTTTGATTTATTAAAAACTTACATGCATTTTCCAATATCACAATATCCATGACCAGAACACATCCATGGACATCCATTACCAAGATACACATTATCAAGAGCCCAAGTGTGTCCTATAGATTTCATTGGATTTTCTTTCCATCTAAATCTTGTTGCAGGTGATCTAAATTTTTATTTATCAAAATATTTTTAAAATGAGAGATTTAGTCATTTATTTATTAAAATATAAAAAAGTTGTTAAAGAATAAAATGTTATACATGTTTAATTAAAACTGTAAATTTTGATTGATTAATTTAATAATAATTTAACTCAACTCTAATTCTTATTTTATGTGTGTAATGTATGAATTGTTTTTAAAAATATTATTCAATAAATTACAAAAAAAGTAAAAAATCTAACCATTAATTAAATATTAATTATAAATTGAAACGTAAAATTTTTAAAAATCTGACATTGTATTATCACAGATAATAATTCATTCAATAAAAAACTGAAAACATTTTTTCAAAATAATGTGCTACTAAAATAAAGTGATAATATTTATTTATAATATTAATTATATCTACTGCTTTTAAAAAATATATATATATTTAATTAATATAAAAATATGAATATTTTCAGCTGATGATGAAATGTAACAAGTAGAATTCTTAAGAGATATACATATTACAAAATTTCCCATGAATACATATTTTAAGAATTTTAATCTTTTTCATGGTTATTTTGAATTACAAGATTTCCTTGCCAGTATCATTAGACTCTTTCCAAGAAAACATCTTTTTTTTTTTTTTTTTTAAATTTAATTTTAAAAAAAATCACCAAAATTTATTTCCTATTTCCTTAATTTTCCTTAAACACATATATACTTAAGGAAAAAATATATATATACAGGTATACCTCGCCTTACGTCGGTAATTGGTTCCAGGAGAACGACGTAAGTCGAAAAACGACGTAAGTCGAATTTACTTGTCTCTGAATCTAATTATCACTAGGCTAAACCGTAAATTACCATTCCCGGTTCTGTATTTTATTTATTAATGCATTTTTAATAATATATGGTTAATAAAAATCTATTTTAAGCTTACAAACAAATAAATTTTAGTTTTTAATATAGTACAAAAAAAAGTAATCTAAATTTACGAATGCATGTACTGTAAATACAGTACATACTTGTATATATTTTAATATGATTTTATGTGCTTTAAACGTTTATCTAGTGATATTACGACTTCAATATTTGTGGCGGACAGACGTAAAGTCGAATAAAATGACTTAAACTTGATTTTTATTTTTCCATATACTTTTTTAACAAGCGACGTATAATCGGGAACGACGTAACTCGAAACGACGTAAGTCGAGGTATGCCTGTATATATGTTTATTTTCCTATAGGTCTAACTGTTTTAGAAATGATATTGAATAAAGTAATGATAGTATCAGGTAGCACCATCAGTATGTGGACTAAGAAAACAATTTTTCCCACCAATTTACATAAATCACTTGAAAACATTCATTTCAGTTAGACTTGTTGCATTCATTTGCATCATGGCAAGGACAATGCGCCAGTGCACCCAGCTACCATTGCCAAGGCTGTTGTAAAGAAGTGTGGGTTTGAGGAGCTTGACCATCCATCCTACAGTCTGGATCTGGCTTCTAGTGATTATCATCTGTTTCTCAAACTCAAAAGACTTTCAAAAAAGTGTTGAAGATTTGCAGGAAGCAGTTTATGAGCATTTTGCAGACAAAACTGTGTGCTATTTTTTTCAAGGGTATTGAAAAGCTAATTCCAAGATGTAATAAGTGTGTTGAACTACAAGAAGACTATATTGAATGACATCATTGTTTTATACTTATAACATCTAAAATAGGGGTCCCCAAAGTGGTCGATATTGACCCCTTGGGTTGATAAGAGTTCTCCAGGGGTCGATTAATACACGAGGGTCGAAAGGGGATCGATTAATACCAAAGAAGATCAATTAAATTGTCTAGGAACAAAATAGAATATTCCAATAAAAATTCAAAATACGGATATGATCAACAACATTACTGACTACCCTAGTTATAACTTGACTTTTGCCTTAGCCTACGCAGCTTTAAGCATGTGTTACTCTGTTTTCACACATCTGGCAACTGTACTAGTGTTGCAAACATGTTATGAATGCTCGTAGTTCATTATACACAGACATACGTTGCACTGTTACACTCTAGTAGGGTTGTTACTCTAAGTATTTTATATCTAAATGTAGATATTTTGTCCTTTACAGAGAAAATATCGTAATATATCAAAAATCATTAATATAGTACAGAAGCGTTTGCAAGGAAAAATGGCCTTTCAAGTAAAAATGGAGTTATTTAAATCTTCACTGGCACGATCCAATTTTAAATATTTTTCAAACTTGCGAGTACTAAAAGAAAATGAAAAGGTTTCCAACCGTGATTTGGAGATATATATTAAACATCATGATAAATTAAGAGACGACTTTAAAGCACGTTTCAAAGACTCGGAGAATATGCATGTTCCCGAATGGTTTGCTAATGCATTTGATGTAAAAATAGATAATGAAGGTAGTGAAACTGGCTTAGAAGATGAATTGAGTGAAATATGTGTAGATATCAAAGATAAAGCATTGTTTAAAAATAAAAACATCAGTGAATTTTGGAGCAATAACAATATTGCCACTAAATATCCCAAGCTCAGATCATAAGCCGAACCTTTCTTACTTGCATTCCCAACTTCGTACGTGGTTGAAGCTGGTTTTAGCCACGCGAACGCAATTTTGACAAAACAGAGGAACAGATTGAACTTGGAGAACCGTGGTGATTTGCGACTAAAACTTACCAATTTTCAACCGAATATCAATAATCTTGCTGCTTCTCTTCAGAGACATCCATCCCACTAATATCAACTATTTTAATAAAAAGGTATGTCTACATATTTTTAAGGCATTCAGTAGTAGTTGCAAAATGACAGTAAGAAGTTTTTTCATCCAATATAACTAATGTTATGTTTTCAAAAATAAGTATGTATTTTATGTATTATGACAGGTATGGTTTAAGAACTATAGGCAAATTCCATCTATCCATAATTTTGCTATTATTTTTTAAGATTATAAATCAGTGGAAAATATCTCATTTTTCTGTTAATGTTATTGGGTAGATTTTATAAAATATGGGAACTATAAATTCTTTTGTTGGATTGTTACGCAGGTCTCCTTATTGCTTAACATTAGAAATGCAAAAAATGATTTAATGTTTTTGTTAAATACTTAATCTGGGGGTTGATAAGAAGGCAAATATTCTATAAAGGGGTCAACGGGAAAAAAAGTTTGGGGACCCCTAATCTAAAACATAGTTAGGCCAGAAACTTTTAGCCCTTACCTTGTGTGTGTGTGTATTGTGTATATATATATATAATTTTATATAATGGACCCTCAAAGACAAGCTGATTTAGTTCATTATAACAATATAATGGCATCTTTCTATAATGGTTCAAATCAGCAAGTACAAATGCTAATACAATAGTAGAAAAGAATACATAACAGATTTCAGGCTTAGAATATATTACATTCTAAGACTGAAAATCTATGGCAGATTCTTTTCTACTACTATATTAGCATTAAACAGTTATGGTTATGAACATGTCACTAGAAACTATTTCTTAATCTAAAATTAAATATAGTACATGTAATTTAAAGAATATGAACAAACTGAAATCATATCAGTAAAAGAACCTTTGAACAGTGAAACACAACAATATCCTGTACTATGGTAAATCAAAGTAATAAAAAGGTGAAAAGTGTGAGGTCCTGGACGAAAATCAAGATTATATGTTTTGAACGATGAAAATCCGGTGAGACAGTTAAGCTCTCATCTTTCAAAATTAAAACAAAGCAAGACTTAAAGTCTGGCTTAAACAATAAAAATTCTTTCCATCAAAATGGAAAACAAAAGGTTTGAATTGTAAGGATAATATCAAAATTTGAAAGAATTTTAGATGAACAAGAATCAGGTTGTCTTGAAAATGACCTCTCCCACTCTCTGAAAAGTTTCAAATTGTCACTGGGAGATGAGAAAAGACCAATCAAAATGCAGAATAGAGGAGAGAAACCTATAATAACATTTTATAAAGAGTGTGTTTTAAGGACACAACATTCTTTGCTCCAAAATTTTGTTTTTCATGCAAATTTGCTGTTAGTCCTTTCATCTATCTCTGAAATACGTTCACTCAACTGGAGTTATTCGAGCTCTTCAAGATTCATCCTTACTACAAGGACTATTCTTTTCAAGGCTGTACAGTGTACCTCAGAGTCATCAATCCTGCAGACTGTAAATCAGGGACCAAGGAAGACACTCTATGGAATAATTGGGACTTTACTGGACTCTCTAATTGAGAATTGTGTGAACAGAGAATTAGAACCTTTTGCAAGAAAACCTTTAATAATTAATTAAATGGTAAAAAGAATGGTAAGCCTATCTCAGTGAATATTTCATGCTGTGGCTACACGCCATATTTTAAACCGTATGATTTGTATATTTATCTTCACTTCACCTTCGTCTGTCCTATTTGTTTACTCTTCTATAATGTTATCTTTTTCCCATTGACTTTAGTGATTGAGTGGACTGAGAGGAAAGAAATGAATGGAAAGCTTTTGTGAGAGGATATGAGCGGACTAAGGTGAGAGGAGGAACGAGGGGGAGTTAAGAAGGGGGGAGAATGAAGGGAGTGAGTGGAGAAGAGAAACGAAAGGGGGACGGGGAGTGATAGCGGAGTAGAAAGGACGTGGGACTGAGGAAGGAAGTGGAAGGAGTGGACTAAAAAGGAAAGTCTTCCCTGTAAGTTCAGCATCGTTTAGTGAGAAAAGAAAAAGAGAACTTTGGAACAAGAAAAGAAAAAGAGAACTTTGGAACAAGAAAAGAAAAAGAAACTTAATTGAGAGGAGGTCCAGCATCGTATCAAATAAGCGACGACCCGGGGACTGGAAGAGAAAAAGGGATGAACTTTGCGAGAACGAGAGGCATCGACCATCGCAAGGAGCACTAATTACCAAGTTTGGGTATCCTCTGTTCTATCTCTCATCTTCTTCTTCCAAACCTATTCTATTCAATACTAACACTTAGAAATAAGAAACTAGCATAAATTACTTAATTTAAGGAATTGGTCAGTCGGTCTGGACTGAAACTACATGCACACTTTCCTGTCGCGTGTTATATTACTCGGTGGTTCATTAAATGTGCGTCTCGTTCGGTGGATATAGAGTGAAGTTGGTATCCTTTCTAACCTGCATCAACCGGGCGAATAAATAAACTTTTTTGTATTTTTAGTAATTAATTTTGTTTTGTTTGTCTATTTCTCGCCCTTTGGTCTTACAATGCCAACACACAATTGTCTTGCCTCTCGACTGTCCAAACAATTGCACACAGTCAGCAAGCCTTACAAAAGCACAAATAAGAGATAGGGCTAAAAAGAAACAACAGCATATGCATAGATGACCAAGACAAAACCTTTCTCACTTGTTTGTAGCCATTTATACCCGAGTACTCCTTTACGAGTAACCTTTCTCACTTGTTTCTAGCCGTTTATACACGAGTACGAAAGTTTTCAGCCTTTTCCAAGTGAGAAAAGTTTTGTCTTGGTCATCTTAAAATAGTTCTAGCTACAAATGCATAGAAGCATATGCATATTAAAATATAAATAAAAATAAATGCATAATAAAAATAATTACTTTTTTATAATGCTCTTTAAGCATCATAACACAGTAAGCAAGCATATGCTGTATATTTAATAATATGCATATGCTTCTATGCATATGCATAGAAGCATATGCCTATTATTAAATATATAGTACACTGTAAGTCTGCATGAAAAAATATATATAAGTTTTAATTTTTGGATAAAAATATCTGTTTTCTTTGTCTGTGTTTCTGGTTTTAATCTTGTTTTTATCCAGTAAGACAATAAAGCAATATTTTGCAAAACTCAGTCAGGAGCATTTCCTATTTGTAGAATAAAATTGGATAGTCTTTCAATGCAGTAGTACAATTACAAGAGACACAAGGAGCAAATATTCTCTTAACAAAAAATTTCAAAAAACCAAACTTTGTCAAATTCAAAAATGAAAAGAAAACAGCATATGCTTGCTTACTGTGTTATAATGCTTAAAGAGCATTATAAAAAAGTAATTATTTTTATTATAATTTTATAATAAAAAAAACAAACAGCAAAAATTTTTCCTTTTCCTATTTGAAATTTTTGGATGTGCCATTCCTTCAATGTACTTTTCAACTTGATCATTTGTAATAACTGGCATATTAGATTGAAAGGCTCCTCATCTTCCTCCATGCTATCTAATTCTATATTTGCAATTTCATCAGCTGGATGATTTAATCCTTCTTCACATACTTAAACTTCATTTTGCTGCAGTGAATGGTAAATCTGAAACCGGAGTGTATGAATGTAACAAGTCCATACATGTGAACAGGAAGTGGTTCTAGGAAACTATCTGCTTTGGCTCATAATATCAACAGTCCATTATTCATGGTTCCATAATAATGAGTAATTTTTATTATTGTGAATTATTATGTCCAACCAAATCATCAGCAACAGTTCATACAATAAGTTGTCCATTACATCATGGTCAGTAATAATGTGAGTTTATATTGATTTTAATGTATGTATACATTTGATTCTATTTGTACTTATCAAATACTATTCTAACACTGTTAAATATATAAATAATAGATAAATAGAGAATGACCCAAAAAGTAATTAACTAAGATATATTTTCAAAGCAGTTTAAAACTAGTTTGGACATATGTATGTTATTATTCATAATTTAGGCATTTCCAATGAAATCACTGAATCATTTATTAAAATATTTAATAAATACTTACTAATTAAATATCTTAATTAATAAACTATATCTTGGTCAATTGATTTTTGGGCCATCCTCTATATAAATTTCCACAAAGCCTGTGATAAATAATAAACCAAACTTTCGAATTTTACTAAAACAAAAATAGCCTGAAAAATCTTTGTTTGAATAATAATAGATTTGTGAAATTTATAAAAAATTTATCATAAGTATATCATTAAAAATAACCAGTGACAGACCAAAACTCTCATAGACTTCAATGCAAAAATTATTTATGTTTATCAAGGCCCACAAAGTTTATACTTTAATTATGTTATATATATGTAAATCCTCTGTATTTTTTTGTATAAAATATTTGGAAATTATTATTTTTCATTGCCAATGTGTTGTAGATTGGGGCAAAGTTATCCAGCATGGAAGCCTGAAAGGCCCATTGTGCTGGGATCAACAAGAATTAATCTATCTATAATCCCACCAAACTAAAGATCTAAGTGGGTGATCACATCCTCTTCAACTAGATCCAGCAGCCAACACACAATGCAGAATTCCAAACAGACAGCTGCATCATACTGGAGACCACCAGTACTTGTGGAAAATCCAGCAGTCATAGCCTAGATTTGATCCTAGACCAGCAAGCCAAAGCAAAGCTGCCATAGCTATCTGAAAACTTGCCAATGTGTTAGTAACTGATAGGTTCCCAATGGCTCAAGCCCCAGTACATTGTACCATCAGTATAAAGTGACCAGATCACAAAACATAAAAAACAAGACTTTAGACCAGGTGCTTCAATGTGTTGTCATATGAGTCATGTGATTGATTCTGGTGTACTATTTCTGACTTATCAACAATTAAGCGATTGCCAAATTTTGCTATTCTTATTAAAATTAAAATAATTAAGATTTATTTTTTAATTCAGATAATTAGCAAAAATCATCATTTGCATGACCACACATGGCATACATTCATTGATGTCCAACAGACTGGACAATAAATTGCTAATTGGGCTATTATTTCTATAAATTGAATATTAAAAGTTTTTCAATATAACTTGTATACAATATTATTTATCTTTGAATTACAACTTATGCAATAAATATTGACATTTTTCAAACAGTTTAAAAATTGGGATAGCATGTTAAAAAGTGGGACTGTTTTGCCTAATTTAAGACATCTGGTCACTTTATTAGTGTGGGATTTAGGTAATAATACTATGCATAACTGCATCTCTACATAAATAAAATTGTGGTAATTTACTAGAATGGATTCTCCTTTAATATTTACTATATATATAGTAAATGTTAAAGGAGAATCCTTCAAAGCAATTTTTTATAAATTAAACCTTTTAAATTTAAAAAAATTTTTAATATAAACTATTTACTTATAAATAAAAACAGGATAATCCAAGATATTTTATCCAAAACCAGGAAGCTGGGACAAAAAGTCAAAGACCTGACATCCCAGTTAATCCAGGACGTTCTAGTCACTTTATATCAGTACCTAGTTAGAATTACCACCGAAAAAAATACACATTTAGTATTAAATATAAAAGAAGTTTGTTACTAAACATATACTATTTATTATTAATATTTAAATTATAAATATATAAAATTCTGAAAATTACATTGCCCGGTCAGGTAGATAAATTGTAACTCTTGTCCAGTTAACATGCTTCTCAGATAACAAAGTTGAACCAAGTTGATAACCACGACATCCAACTTCTGGTGGAATGCATTCCTGATTAACAGGACTCCAAGAACGCCCTCTATCAATAGAATACTCTAACTGTACTGAATAGAGATCTGTAAGATGGCTACATCCCATACTTATGTCAAATTGCAAAAATGCAGAAGATTGAAGATAGAAATCCCATGTTTCAGCATAACGTTCTGTGGCAACTAACAAATATAAAGTATATTTATCATTTACAGTAAATATTTATTATATTATAATAAAAACTTTTTTATTTCTACAATATATAAATGAATAGATCATCTTTTGTATTTTTATTAGGATAATAGAGTATTTTTTTATAATCGGGGGCGAATCCTGACCAAAATTTTTGGGCATGCTGAAATTTATAATAAGAATAATAGGCCTATCTCTAGCACTAAACAATAGGTACTAAACAATAGGCAGAAGTGTTATTTGGTGTGAATAAAAAGTATGCTGGGCTTTATAATAGGACTGTTATAAAGCCCATTATATTGATATCTACACATGAAATGTATTATAATGAAAAAGTATTAAAAATTTATGATAATAATTCAATTTTTGTGGGCCCTTGACACTGAGGACCAGGGCTTAAGCCCTATTAGTCCCTATGTAGATCTGCCCATGTACACAATACATGTATGTTGACTGGATACCACAAGCTTTTGCTAATCTGGCCATTTAAATGTTTCGAATGACGTCATGCATGCGCACTTGTTTGCTGCGGAAAACTGCCACACGAGCAAGTGATTGAGTTCCCGCAAGCATTGCACTGACTTAAAATGGCTAGCCGCTAGCTGCCAGTGTAAAAGAAACACAAATGATAAAAGAGTTTACATGTTAGAATAAATGATTATTGGCATATTTATTCTCATATAAAAAATATATTAACAGTCAAAACTTTCTCTTAAGCATGCGGTGCATGCTAAGCAAGCCCAGAAAATTCGCCCTTGTTTATAATGATATAATGCGATTGTTTCTAGTCAAATATGTTATATATTTATATAGGTTAAGCAAAATGAAAAAATAAGAAAAATAAGAAATTATCTAATAATCTTAAATTTTTCATACAAGTTACTTTAAAAAAAAATTAAACTATGATTAACAGATTTAATAACATAATTTATTATGTAAATTTTTATTAAAAACTATATTTTATAAAAAAAGCATACCATTTTCAGAAGAAAATATTAATGCATTATCTTTAGATAAACAGCCTTGCCTGGGATAACCATTTTGTGTCAAAAACCAGCTTTCAATTTGTATAGGTGAAAAATTGTCTTGAAATCCATCTGGATTAGTATCACTTATTAATATAAGTATATTATCTAAAGCCCATTCAGCTCTTAGAGGATCTAAGTAATGAGGAAAATATGTTTTATTAAATTAACAAGAAATAAAAATTTGAATTAATAAAATATAAAACAAAAATAAGATGATAGAGGGAATAATGAAAAATTATAAAATATAAAATTATGTAAGAAAAATAATATGAAAAGAGAGAACCACCTCTTAAATAATGAATAAAACTCAAAGCTCTAAAACACACAATTTAACAAGCAATTATTTATTGTGACATCATTACAATGATGAGCTGAAATTTTTCATCACAATGCTCTCAATTTTCATAGTGTCTTGCCCCTGTATGTCATACTTTTCCTGTTAACAATGGAGTCATGCCAGTCATCTAACTCCATTCAGGAGAAAATTTTTGAATTGAAATAATGTGACTTCCAGTCCAAACTAAAAGTTTATATATGCTTAATCGGGGCCTCCTATTCCTATGCTTTCCATATCCAGTCTCAACTTTCATCTATCTAACTCTGTTCTCAAGACTAAGGACAGACAGGCAGATGAAAGCCATAAGTCTACAATTTGAAAATTGTTGCCCAAAAATCTGTGTTATTGGAACTTATTAACTTTCAACAAGTATCACCTTCTAAGTACTCTCAAAAACTCTCTCATTGATGAAGAATAAAGAATTTTATTATAAAGATGAGTAAAAATTGCTTTCAAACACATATGCATAGGAGATATTTTTGTGCCTGATTATTTAACGTACACATACTGTACAATTATTATTAAATTAATAAGTTTAACAAAATGCTACATAAAAGTGTTTTAAATTCATAAGACATTGTTAGAAGTCAGAGATAAATATTTTATTCTAAAATGTAAAACTTTTTATTAGATTTCTAATAGTCCTTAAGGAGTTAAAATATCTTAGACATAAAAGTCATTTTTATTCAAATTTTTTATAGCTTTCTTAAAATAATATTCAATAATGTAATTTTAAATAATAATACCTCTAGCACTTTTTCCTAAAGGTTGCCACCATCTGAAAGAAGTGCTTTTTGTCCTTGCTTCTCTAGAAAGATCTAATGAAACAGATACAGCTCTAGTGCTAAATAATTTGTAATCAATTTCTCTTATTAAATGCCATGTTAATCCATGATTATTTGAATATTCTACAAAAACATTTTCATTTCTTCGTTGTGGTCTATGGCAAGTAGGAGAATTCTTCTTGTCACCAAGTCTTATAACAAATTGTAAACTCCTGAAATATCAAATCATAAAAATGATCTAATTTATAAAACTTAGAAACTTATATTTTTAACGATACAAATACAATAATCTATCATCTAAAATCCTGATGAAATAATATCTGAAAGACTTCCTTAGAATTTTGTATATTAATAAAAACTTTAAAATTAATTAAATATTTTTATTAATGCATTTTATATACTTCTGATATTTTTAAAATTTATTACTTATAATAAATGAAGGAATTTAAAAAAAAAATTAGTGTTTATATCATTTTAATGTCATTTTGAATTTCTTTCTAGCAGTTAAAAGATATTTTCATTAATAAAACTTTTTTCAGAAAACTAAGTTTCATTTTCAATTAACCATTAAAAAAAATAACAATACAATGAAATAGAAACAAATATGCATGGTGTTACAAAATTAGACTAACAAAATGAAATTGGTAGTAGAGGGAATCAATACAAACAATTTTGGTCTTATTAACTGGTGATCAATACAGCTCCCCTTATGAGATACAGGTTCCTAAAATTTCTTTACCGCCTTAAATGTTTGCTGGCCTGCATAGCATGTGGCAGTTTTATAAAACATAAAGAAATGCATCTTAGAAAAGTGAAAGTTGGAATCCCAACAGAGAATTTTTGCTAATTGTTATTTCTTTATTGAAAATCCACTTCAAATTTTAAGTGCAATTAACTGTAAGAAGATTATAGGCAGATAAAATAAAAAATAAGGAATAAAATTTATACTTGGTAATTTTCATGCCAAAAGATGACCATAACAATACTCATACAGTAGAATATTAACTGTTATTTGCAGAGTTGCACTTTCCTGAACCGTTTTCTTTCCAATCAGATACAAATGAAAAACTACGTCATTACTTCTCACTTCAAAGTTAGCTTATTTTCAGATATTTCACATGATTGTTGTCTGATTAGCCAAACATTCATTGTTTTACATGTAACAGGCCTAAAAGTAGCCATTTCTTTATAAAATGGATACCATTAATTAAGCTACTTTAAAAGACCTGAAATCAGTTGAAGTTCTGCCTTAGTTTACACTAGGATTGTGTGTATTGTAATCTCCTATCAGTCAGAACACTTCTCTCAAGTTCTTACACAAGAACTTACTGGGACATCACCCCTGAATGAACTGTACTATTTGGCTGTCTAAACTCACTGCCCCAGTGGTTCTGGATTGTTCCAAAAGGTTGAGAACATTCTGAAGAGTTCTGTATTATTTCAGAAGATCTGCTATGGACTATTATAGAACATAAAGTAGCAAATTTGTGTTCCTACTACAGTAGAACCTCGATTATCCGACCCCCGATCAACCGACCCCTCGGTTAACCGACCGTCCTAGTCGGCAAATTTCAAATGTCCGCTAGTGATGTGGCGCTACAATATTTGGCTATGTCTTGGCTACTTTAATATTATTTTTACGTGTTTTAGCTGGCAACACTCATTCGCCCATGAAAGGGAGCCAGTATTTAAACGAAGCTTAATTTTCTAATTTTTAACCATACAATAGCGACGATTATTATTTTAAAAAATTTTTGTTAGGCTTAACATTGATGAAAATTCAACGCAAAATAGGTTAATAGCGATATACTAATATACTAATATACTAATTACATGGGATATAATAATATACTACACTAATAATGGATTTTTTCATACTTTTCGGTTATCCGACTTTTCAATTATCCGACCAACCCCAGTCCCCAATTAGGGCGGATAATCGAGGTTCTACTGTATTGTACTTATGTAGTGTTTCTATTTCAACAGTGATGGGTCCAATGCTTAGCATTGTGATATATTGTGACTTTTTGAGATAATGACAGTGACCCCTAAATGTTATTACAAACTAACCAAGTTTTATGAACATTATTTTTTTATAATGGGACAAATTCAAAATATGCTTTTTTCAACTTTCCAAACATTAAAACTAAAAACACTCTAATTTTGATATAAGAACAAATGCTGAAAATACTGATTTTTGTTAATGAAGAATCTAAAATTAAATGTTATTGTTATTTATTTTTTTCTCGACTTTTTCAGTCGTTCTTTAATTTAAATTTTGTATACATAGAAACAAATCAATATTGCATTAATATTTGTACAAAAGATATTCAGCCTACCTAATTTGTCTTGTATCAAAATCTCTTGTTTCAGCCAGACGATATCCATCACTTCCAAAATATAGAGATTTTCCAAGTGATAATGTTCCACATCCAGTATTTAAAGAACTTCCTAGTGATTTAATCCAAAAATGATTCAAACTATTTCCTTGATCAAATCTATCCATAAATCCAAAAGGATTAGAATGAATTGGTGAACATGCTGGACCTAAAATATTTTATAATATAAAATGATTGAAATTTTGTTGTTGATAATATAATTGCTATAGAATTTAAATTTGAAATTAAATAGATAAATAAATAAATATATCCTATTTACTATCAATTTTATACAGTAAAATTTATATCTTGGTTTTTATATCATAATCATACCAACCTTCAATGATTAAGTATTTTACCAACCTTAGGTATTTCCTTTCTCCTCCATAATAGCCATTTCCTCAGTATAATCTTCAGACTGATCCTTTTTGTACAAAATATTGTACAAAAATTTTATGAGCTAGACATAATTAATGAATGAATCTATTTTCTTTACTGTGATAAAAATATCACCTGATATAACATTGATAATATTGTGATTCAAATTTAATCCAAATTCACCTAATTGCTTCTTTATGAGTTCTGTGATTCTCTTACTATTTAATGATCCTTGAATACTTACTAAAACCTAGAGATATTTCATATTGCATACATTGATATTTATGAACTAACAATTCTGGGAGGATATATACTCATCAAGTAAAATTGAGTAATGAAACCCAGCTTTGATTTGGCCTGAAAAGTATTCAGTTAACTCTTTTTTCTTGGTTTCATAATAATTCAGAACCAAAATTTTCGTTCATTTTACTGAACTCAGTTACATGTATTGTATACATTTTCATCAAATTGCTTTGGATAAATTAACTTAAGAAAATTTGTCTAAAATTAAAATCATCCTTGCATGCCATTTTTGCAATAACTTTATCAATAGGTTTTTTAGCAATGAACTACTCCAAAGTTTGTTGTCTCTTGCAAAAAAAAAGCATTGATTTCATCTTCAAAATTTGATGGCATGAACTTAAAGTTCAAATGTCTTCAAGTCTGACATTGAGCCATCCATATTTCTCAGAATTTTATTACCAGTTAAATATTTGCCTTCATCTTTATTTTCTCTTGAAAAGTACTACATTTGACTTTTTATGAGACATAATAAGGAGGTTGTTTCTACTTTACACTAACTGACACAAAAATTGAAATAATAAAAGTGAAACAGGTCCATGTAAAGAATTAAAAATAACTCACTGTAAACATCAGTACTGTTTATATACACTTAAGAACATTATAGAAATTGCCACAACACTGGAATAAGCTCTGTTGTCTGTGTAAAACTTTTTAATGCATTTTTTCCTATATCTAACATATATATATATAATATAGATTTATATATATATATATATAAAACTTCTTAANTTTTGTGATTTATTGATTCCCAGTGCTGCCATTTCAATTTTTTCCGTAATGAAAAAGTAGCATGATGCTTTTAAGCAAAATCTTTTATTTATATAAATATATAATAAAAGTGAAACCAGGTCCATGTAAAGAATTAAAAATAACTCACTGTACACATCAGTACTGTTTAGTATACACTTAAGCACATTATAGAAGTTGCCACAACACTGGAATAAACTCTGTTGTCTGTGTAAAACTTCTTAATGCATTTTTCCTATATCTAGCATATATATGCTAGATATAGGAAAAATGCATTAAGAAGTTTTACACAGACAACAGAGTTTATTCCAGTGTTGTGGCAACTTCTATAATGTGCTTAAGTGTATACTAAACAGTACTGATGTGTACAGTGAGTTATTTTTAATTCTTTACATGGACCTGGTTTCACTTTTATTATATATTTATATAAATAAAAGATTTTGCTTAAAAGCATCATGCTACTTTTTCATTACGGAAAAAATTGAAATGGCAGCACTGGGAATCAATAAATCACAAAATTTTTGAACAAGTGAGCAAAGAAAATGAGGAGATAAACAAAGTGAAGAGAAGAGTGAAACAAGAAAGTTAGCCCAAGGAGAAAGAAAAGCAAACAGGGTGGAGGGATTGGGCTGAGAGGGAAGCAAAGTAAGCAGGGTGGAGAGAGTTGGACCATCTATCCTGCTAGAGGTAGAGCAATGGAAGTGAAGTAAGGAGTAAAGTGAGGAGGTTGGCCCCTCATAGGTGTTGAATCATCATGCAATTTTTGTTATAAATAATCCATATTGAAAACAAGTGGGCCAAGCCCATAGGGTGAGCAAGTAAAGTCAAATGGAAATGGAATAATCTTCAAAGAAGTCAAAATGATCAATTTGAAAAAATAGATTGTTATTTTTTGTTCTGAAATCTGAAGATTGTTTTATATTCAATTTTGATGGAGAAAATCTTGAACAAAGTTTTATGATTATAACAGTAATGTGTTGTGGCATTACAGGAGTGGAGTCTTGGAGAATGAACTCGTCCGCTAGTACTTTCAGTAGTATATAACTACTGTTTTCAGGCGGTCTATCGAATACAACAGATTAAGATTTTCGAACACTAATCTGACGGTTTCACAAATTTTTGGATTTTCGAAACTATCGAACAATATTTCCGACAGATTAACTGATTATTCTGTTTTTAAGTGTTATTTAAAAATCATTTTGTGCATCATAGCGCGTGGAAGGAAAACAGTTTTAATCAAGCATGTTTTAGAAAGAATAAGGCCGTAAAAGAGCCCAGAACATGAATAAAGTATAAAATATGTCAAAAATACATATGAGTAGCAAAGACTTCAACATTGTGGATTTAGTTGTTTAAAAGCTGTTACCCAAATTTCTGGTAATTCGAGAGTTGGGGAGTTGCACGGTTCAGTGGCAGAAATATAGAGACTCTCCCAAACAAATAGCTCTTTATGTTTGTTGCAGCCTTTCAGTAATTTTGTTTTGTTCCAGAGCGGCTGGAACAATTATCAGCTGCTCTGGAACAAAACAAAATTATGAAAGGCTGCAACAAACATAAAGAGCTATTTGTTTGGGAGAGTCTCTATATTTCTGCCACTGAACCGTGCAACTTCCCAACTCTCGAATTACCAGAAATTTGGGAAACAGCTTTTAAACAACTAAATCCACGACGTTGAGGGCTTTGCTATTTGGATGTCTTTTTCACATTTTTTTTTTTTTTTCGTTCCATGCACTATGATGCACAGAACGATTTTTAAATAACATTCGAAAACGAAAAAATCAGTTAATCCGTCAGAAATATTGTTCGATAGTTTCGAAAATCCAAAAATTTGTGAAACCGTCAGATTAGTGTTAGAAAATCTTAATCTGTTGTATTCGATAGACCGCCTGAAGATGGTAGTTATATACTACTGAAAGTACAAGTGGACGAGTTCATTTTCTAAAGTCGGACAAGTTCATTCTCCAAGACTCCACTCCTGTAACGCCACAACACATTAGTGTTATAATCATATAATAAACGTTGGCGTGAAGTGACATTGTATTATAGAACAAAGTTTTTTTATGTAATTCAAATAAAAACTATCGAAAGAGTACAAGAAAA